GAGGAGGCGTTTCAAATTCTGAGTATGACAGATGAGAGTAACAGAGAACTCTCACTGTTAGACTCAGATTCTGTATACGAACCAGTAGACAGCAGCGGTTCACTCTCTGATTCAGAAGAAGAATGTGCTCCAACAAAAAGAATGAGGCGCTCCAAGGAACAGCAAGCAACTACTAGCAGCTCAATACCATCCTGACATGGCTAGTACCAGCAGTGTAAGTGCAAGTACTAGTACTCGGGTGTCGCGTCAGCCACCAAGGATTAGGGCCCATACTGCTGTTCCAGATGCACTTTTAAACCCTGTGTGGCTACCTACAGGATCAGGAGCACCTATAATTCCCCCATTCATAGCCCAGCCAAGCATTCAGGCAGAAACCCAAAATTTTACAGCCATTGATTTTTTTCCATTTTTTTTTCACGGCAGATTTTTTTAATTAAGTTGTGGACCAATGCAATCTATTTGCCCAGCAATTTATCACCCAAAATCCCAACTCCTCTTATGCCCATCCATTTGAGTGAAAACGCCTCACAGTTCAAAAGTTTAAAGTGTTTCTTGGCCTTGCATTTAATATGGGACTAACAAAAAAAAATGAACTGCATGCTTATTGGTCGAAAATCCCATTCATCACATGCCCCCACTCTATTCCGCCACTATGTCCAGGACCCGTTATAAAAAAATTATGCACTTTCTACATTTCGATGAGAATTCCCTGTACCCCCCTTCCCCAGAGATCAGCCTGAGTACGACAAACTTTATAAAATTTAGCCATTGATCAATTATTTCAACCAAACATTTTCTGAAATATATTGTCCAGAAAAAAACATCTGTGTCGATGAATCCCTAATCCATTTCACTGGGAGGCTGGTCATAAAACAATACATTCCAAGCAAATGGGCCAGATACGGGGTGAAGATGAACAAACTCTGCAAAAGGGCCACAGGGTATGTGCACAAATTCCGTATCTACGACGGAAAGGACAGTCAGCTACATCCCCCTGAATGCCCAGCCTATAAGGGGAGTAGTGGAAAAGTTGTCTGGGTCCTGGTATACCCCTTCTTCAATCAGGGGTACCACCTTTACATGGACAATTTCTATACAAGCCTGCCCCATTTCCGCCACCTTTATCTCAAGAACACTCTAGCCTGTGGCACAGTTCGACCCAATCGGAAGGGCTTTCCACAACAATTGGTTGCCACCAGGCTAAACGGGGGAATCAGCTAGCTTGAGAAATGAAGAGATCCTGGCCCTTAAGTGGCAAGACAAACGGGATGTGTATGTCCTTTCCTCTATCCATAACAGCAGCTCATTGGAAATTCAAGGAAGACACAGTCCCATCCAAAAACCCCAATGCATACACGAATATAACCTGTTCATGGGGGGAGTGGATTTAAATGATCAAATGTTACAGCCCTACATACCCAACAGAAGATCAATCCACTGGTATAAAAAAATATCCTTCTACCTTTTCCATTTGGCCCTGTACAATTCCTACATTGTTTACCAGAAGTCCACACAAAGACCTGTCACCTTCTTACAATATCAGGAAGAGATTATCACATCCCTCATCTATCACGAAAGCCCCGTACCTGAACAAATTCGCTCTGGTGCAGTGAACTGATTGCATGAAAGACATTTCCCCGATATCGTCCCCCCTACCAAAGCAGATTGCCATCCTCAAAAAAAAAATGTTGTATATGCTCCAAAAATAGAATTCGACGTGACACCCGATACTGTTGTCCCCAGTGTCCCTCAAAGCCTAGTCTCTGTATAGGAGAGTGCTTCCGTATCTACCATACCTCACTACATTATTAGTGAAGTATGGTAAAGATATTTCTTTGTCCTCTATCTGCTATTTCTCTGCCACGTTTCTGCCTGTTGCCTGGATTAATTTTCCTGCCTTCCATCTGAACTGACTTCAGCCTGTTAACTGACCATGCCTCTGCCTGAACTGACCTCAGCCTGTGTTAATCAACCACGCCTCTGCCTGCTACCTGAACTGGCCTCGGCTTGTTAATCAACCATGCCTTTGCCTGCTGCCTGAACTGACCTCAGCCTGTTAATCGACCATGCCTCTGCCTGCTGCCTGAACTGACATCGGTCTGTTAAATCGACCATGTTTTCTGCCTGCCTCCTGGACTGATCTTTTGCCCTCCCACTTTTGTAGTGATGTTCACAAAAACACAGGGGTCTCACATATGTGAGGGGATCCAGAGTAGTGTTTCCGAGTGGAGAAAACATTTTGTTTTCTTTGGGTTTTGTAATTCCCGGATAAGGGTCTGGAGACCAGAGGCTTTGAAGAGATTTGGGTGGGAAGAGGCCTCTACCCCTTTGTCCAGTCATACCTAACCAAGGCCCTAAGCTTAAATGTTTCTGCCTGGACCAATCCTTTGACCACATCTTTACTTGCTGTCTGTATTGACTGTGGCCTTTTTATGGACCATGTTCCGGTCTTCTTCCTGGACCACTGCTTTGCCTGTTTGCTCACCACATCTATGCTTGGCACCGGTACTGACCCATCTGCACATCCCACTGGCTACCTTCCTGTGAGACACTGGTGCCATCCATCCTCTGTGGACAACTGCACTACTGAAACCACAGGTACTCTTTGGTTTATCCTTTTGTTCAACTTCCTGGCGAGTGAACATAGTGCTATGTGCGCAGCCATGTACCAGTCGGTTAAGCTTTTAGAAAACAGGCTGTAGGTGAAGCTACACTATGCTTTATTGATATATGTTTTCTGATTTTTGTGATACACACAGGTTGCAATGTCCTGTAATCAGTCCAAACATGGAAAAGGTCTTACACATGTGGTATCCCCATACTCAGGAAAAGTAGCAGAATGTGTTTTGATGTGTTATTCTAAGAATGCCTATGCAGTGTGTTAGAAATATCTTATTATTGGTAACATTGCGTAAAAAAAAAAAAAAAAATATATTTTTTTTCCACATTTTCTAAAAAGTTGTGTAAAAAATTAAGTCTTCAGAAGACTCTGCTGCTCCAGGACCTCCAAAATTGTGATAGGTAGTCAAGAAATTAGATGTGTAATTTTTGCCTTTAGTACACCTAAAGGTGCTTATTGGATGTGGGGCCCCTCTATGTGGCTAGGCTGTGAAAAAGTCTTGCACATGTGGTATTGTCACTCAGGAAAAGTTAGAGAATGTGTTTTGGGGTGTCATTTTAGGTATGCCTATGCAGAGAATTATAAATATCTCAGATTGACAACTTTGCATAAAAAAATAAATTTCATTTTCTTTTCACATTTTCCAAAAACTTCTGAACAATGTCTGCAACGACCCATTTTCCTCAGAATTTCAGAGAGAAATGCACTGTAACCAGCATGTACAACATTTGCTGCCTTCCTTCCTTAAATAAGGGCAATAATTGCCACCTATTTTTCAAAGAATGAATGACCTCACTAATAGAACTCCACACTGCTATTATTTTGAACATGCCCCTTTCAATTAGTGATTCAATTACACAGAATCAGCAGCATGCATGTCATGACTGTTGGATTTCTATTACTCTACTACACCTGCTAGTAAATTATTTGCCATGTAGAAATATTATTTCTACCAAAAACAGTGATTGATCAGGTTAGTGATATCTGACTGCTATTATTTTTAACACAACCGTAAATGGTTTGTGTCAATACGAACTACTATATTTGCAGGAGAGCTTTTCTGTTGAAAAACAGACTTACTGGTTGGATCACCAGATGAGAAAGAAAAGGCCTAAAAAAAATAAAATATAATAATAATAATGTAGCCACCACACCTAAGAATTATTAAGTTGCAATATAGTAAGTTTGCTTTTGGGTTTAATAACGCTTCAAATCTTCATCTTTAAATCCCGACTACAGGTTAAACAGACTGAAAATCACATTTCTATGGACATACACACTAAGAATACAGGTTGTAAGCAAATATTTTAGTAAGAAAATAAACACGAGTTTTTTTTTTATTCTACAACAATCTTTTATTGTCCATTAAGTATATTACAACAGTAGAATGCATGGACAATTAGCATCTACAGTCAGTGATAATGAGCTATAACCAACAAGAGCTTGGCTAAAAAGAAAATCTGTGCAAAAATGATGGTACAAAGTATGTAATTTTTGTATTTTTTTTTTTTTTTTTTTTTTTTTATAAAAAGAGAGAAAGACCAGTCATGTTTATTTTGCGCCCCCCCCCCCCCAAAAAAAAAAAAAAAAAAAAAAATCCTCCAGAATGACTTGAGGGATAATCATTGAAAATGTCACAACATTTGTATACATTTAAAACTGAACTACAAGAACAAAACTTATTTAAACATATTCCTCAATAGTCACAAAGAATGTAAATCCAATTTGTGTACACCAAATTTCTTTGCAAACTCAGTTACCTTTAAAAGTAGCAATGGAATTAGTCTCTGTGCTGCATGTACTCTGGGCAGAGAGCAGGTACTCTCATTGCAGGCTGCCTGCAGGAAACTACAAGAGAGGGCAGATACAAGACCAGTTACCCTGCACAAGGAGAGATAGCAACAGTGACTGGTCTATATTACAAGAAGCTCCTGCACCAATCCAATTTCACACTGGATTATTGCACAGATCTGAAAGAAACAACATACAACCTAATTCAAGTAGGAATACATATCACTCTTGTATTTTAGTTATTTGTTAATCCTGGAGTTCAGCTTTACCAGTGGGATCGGACCTGCTCTCTTCGATGTGAAAGACACAAAAACATGAATGACCATACCTTTATAGTCATACACTTTTGAATGTCCAAAAAAAAAAAAAAAAAACTTTTAAAACTAAAACATTTCACTATTGCAGTTTAATGAAATTTATCATTTGAGAACACTAACACCAGTATCACTGATATTTACAAAAATGATTTTTTTTTAATAAGTTAAAGTCAATGAAACATCCATGCAAGCTAGAGTTCTAGCTTTTTGGTTACAAGGACATGAAGTGAGAAGTCCAGAGTAGCAGAAATGATGCATCGCTTTCTTCTTATTCAAACTGTGTCCAGTCCACGCATTGACGATGTAAAACCCAAGCCCATGCCTCTCTGGGTGTGAGTCTGTGATCTTGCCATCTCATACTGAGCATCCAGGTTTCGGAAAACCTCTTCTTGTTGCTTTAAGGTTTTGAAGCTTTCCACATCTACTCTGCTAGTGCCAGCTTCTTCTTCATTCTAAAAACAATATGAATGGTTAAAACATTGGCTGTGCACATTGATCAAAGGATTACTGCTTCAGCAGAAAGGCATAACCGTGATCACTCTCAAAATTGCCAGGCCGATAATGTTGCCAAAGTGCAAGTACATTTGTTAATCCTCAAACTGACAAGGGAACCAGAAAGTTAAGGCACATGCTCTACATAGGGCACCTGGGTAGCCCCCCCACTTGGAATAAGTGATGGGGCTGTTAAAAACTTTCATGCTCGGTTATGTTCCAATTCAGATTTGAGTGCGGCTGGTTGATGTAATTCTAATAGACACTGTACATTCAGACTGTAGTGTGACGTTTTACACAAACTATCCATTAAATTAATTTAATAACCAGTCAGGTATGCTCCTGTTGGTAAATCTAGAGGCGATTATACAGATATTAACATGTGAGCCCAGTGTAAGGCAATACGGACAATCCTTAAACTGTAACAAAAATACAAGACTGAATGGTTGTTATTCAATTACCTCAAAATTTGAATCACTGACCTGAATCAAATATCCAGAGATACTTAAAGCCACAGTGAACCACTTGCCCTTACAGGAATTAACCCCCCCCCCCCCCCCCCTGACCTGGCCATTTTTTGCGATACGGCGCTGCGTTACTTTAGCTGACAATCGTGCAGTCATGCAACGCTGTGCATAAATAAAAACACACACACACACATACACACATATATTTAAAAAAAAAAAATCTTCATAAATTTAGGCCAAAATGTATTCTTCTACATATTGGTTTAAATGAAAGTTATATAGTCTACGAATGGCGGTATAAAAAATACTGGAGTTTTTTTTTTTATAGTCGTAATGGTGGCAGTCAGCAACTTATAGCGGGACTGCAGCAGGCATGCCGACACTGGGTGGAAACTGCCATTGACATCCCAATGACACCAATACAGTCATCAGTGCTAATAAAAAGCACAAACACTACTAATGACACTGGGCAGGAAGGGGTTAACATCTGGGGCGATCAAAGGGTCAACAGTGTGCTGTTTTACATAATGTACTGTGTGTGTTTTAGTAGGGAGACATGCTGCTGTGCAAAGAAACACACAGCAGCATGTTACTGCTGGCAGGAAAGAGACTTGAGTTGTTTACACAGGTTTCTCCCATCAGTTCTACATGGCGTTCGCCGGATGTCGGCGGAGAATCTCCGACCGGGACCTGGTGATTGACATGCCTAGCTGCCAATGGCGGTGCATATGCCCCCTACCCAGAAATGCAAATCACGTATATATACACACATGATTTTGCGCAGCCTGCAGCAGTAGTTCTGCTATAGGGCAGCAGGCAAGTGGTAAAATCTGTATCTATTCTCATGTAGAACCTCCAAATATTATATATTTTCTGAAAGCAGGGGCACTGGAGAATATAAAATAGTGGCTGCTGCAATTTTTAATACCACCCCTCCCCATTTAACTTTATTGCAATCCAAGGGGTGAAGAAGCCCACTTGAGACAGCTTTGGACACCGACAGGTACTCTTTTATAGAGACATCAGGGGTTCATTAGCTATTCAAGGCAGCTAATCAGACACAAATCGTGTTTGAACACCTGCTTCCCTGGCTGTAGCAGCCATGGAACAACAGTGAAAAGAAGTGACTAAACCCGCTTCACTTCTCGCTTTATTAGTCACAGAGGAGATAGGGGAATGGATGTTCCTCCTCCTCCTCTGTGGGCAGCTGCCTGATCACTCAACAGTCCCTGGAAGATTGGAAGAGCTGAGGAGTGGCAGTGGGAAAGTGATTGGGTTGCAGTAAAAAAAAACCCCAAAACACAGTATAACTGGTTTGTATGCTGCGCTGGGCAACAAGAGGTTAAGTTAGGTATACACACACACACACGCACACACACACACACACACACGCACACACACGCACACACACGCACACACACGCACACACACGCACACACACAATTTAGTTTTTTTCAAGTATTAACCAAAAAAGGTTTACTTTGAGGGTATGTACATCCAAACTGGAGAAAGCGTTTAGGAGTTACAGCTCATAAGAATAGCCATCCCCAGTTTTTCAAGGGACCAAAAGTAATTGGACAATTAAAAATAATCATAAATAAAAATGTTAATATTTTGTTGAGAATCCTTTACTGGCAATGACTGCCTGAAGTCTGGAACCCATGGACATTACCAAAGGCTGGGTTTCCTCCTTTCTGATCCTTTACCAGGCTGTAACTGCAGCTGTCTTTAGTTGTTCTTTGTTTGTGAGTCTTTCTGCCTTTAGTTTTGACTTCAGCAAGTGAAAGCAATGCTCAATTGGGTTGAGATCAGGTGACTGACTCAGCCATTGCAGAATATTCCACTTTTCCTTCAAAAGCTCCTGGGTTGCTTTTGCAGTGCGTTTTGGATCATTGTCCATCTGTACTGTGAAGCGCCATCCAATCAACTTTGCTGCATTGAGCTGAATCTGGGCTGAGTATATCTGTAAACACTGCAGAATTCATCCGGCTGCTTCTGTCACATCATCAATAAACACCAATGATCCAGTGCCACTGGAAGCCATGAATGCCTATGCCATCACACTGCCTCCACCATGTTTTACAGATGACATTATGCGCTTTGGATCATGAACTGTTCCAAGCCTTCTCCACACTTTTCTTTCTGTCATTCTGGTACAGATTAATCTTAGTTTCATCCATCCAAAGAATGCTTTTCCAGAACTGGTCTGGCTTTTTTAAATGTTTTTTGGCAAAGGCTAATCTGGCTTTTCTATTCTTCAGACTTATGAATGGTTTGCACTTTGTGGTGAACCCTCTGTATTTGCTCTCGTGAAGTTCTCTTGATTGCAGACTTTGACAATGATACGTCCATCTCCTGGAGAGTCTCCTTCACTTGTCTGGATGTTGTGAATGGGTTTTTCTTTACCATAGAGAGGATCCTGCGATCATCCACCACTGTTGTCTTCTGTGGACGTCCATACCTTTTATGTTGCTGAGCTCACCAGTGCGTTCTTTCCTCAAAATGTACCAAACTGTTGATTTGGCCACTTCTAATATTGCTACCATCTCTCTGATGGATTTGTTTCATTTTTGAAGACTTACAATGGCCTGTTTCACTTGCATGGACAGCTCCTTTGAACGCAAGATGTAGGTTCACAGCAATAGATTCCAAATGCAAATACCACACTTAGAATCAACTTCAGACCTTTTACTTGCTTAATTGATGAAGAAATAACGAAGGAGTAGCCCACACCTGGCCATGAAACCGCTTTTGATTCAATTGTCCAGTTACTTTTGGTCCTTTGAAAAAAAAGGGGGGATGGCTACTCTTAAGAGCTGTAATTTCTAAACCCTTCCTCCAATTTGGATGTACATACCCTCAAATTAAACCTGAGTGTGCACTTTCAGCCCATATCCATTATATAAAACTAGCTTGAATATGTTTTGGTAAATGCCTGAAAAAAACTAAAATTGTGCCTGTGTCCAAATATGTATGGACCTAACTGTATATGTAGGGTGCCACTGTTGACCTCCTCTTGAAAATGAAGTGTGCTTGGCTGTATCTGGTTTCAATATTTTTTGAGAAACTAACCCGAAACAAAGCTTGCAACCAGTGAATTCAGAACTCCTGATATGCAAATATATATTCCCTGTCAATCAAATTACTGAAGCTAATGTCTCTTGAAGAAAGACCAAGCTCACTTCTAGCAGAAGACAATAATTACAAAGTATTGCATTTATTTTTTGGTAGTGGAAACAGGCAGGCACTGCTCTGTGAAAGGGAACCATGTCACACCTCTAGCACCAAGCTTCACTTTAAGAGCTGTGGAGCTTCCAGCTTATTCTTTCTTTAGCTCTGAGAAAGTAAATGCATACACTCTTCAAAAAGCCATTAACACAAAAGATTTATTAATTTTTTAACTGGAGAATGGAGCACACTTGTGTTAAACAAAACTCTATATAGTAGTTTGCTTCTTCCCCAAATACACCCCACTTACCCCATAAAACAGGAATTAAAGTTAGAAGTCAGTAAGAGATTACTCACCTTTATTCCCATTAGTTTTCTAAATTTAACATTTTGGTCCTTGTTTCCAAAATTTAGCTTTTCCCAGATTTCTGCTGACTGAGATTTATCCTAAAAAACAAAATGTTAAAGCTTAACATCCATATGCAAACCTCATTAACAACAGTACAATTATTGCAAAGTTCTTCCTTATTGCTCAAACGGTACAAGATATATGCATGCTAAATATAAAACACTGATCAGGCAGATGTGCAAAACATTCTGTCACAGAAATGCAACCTAGCAGTACTAAAACCGAAACCGGAGACATGTTTATCAGCTGTTCAGAGGCATCCTAATGAAAAAACATAGTCGAACAGTGTGTTCATTCTTAATACCAAGGGGCAGGGGGGAGAGATCGCGCAAACTCTATAGTGCAGTAAATGAAAAAATGTATATGCAGCGCACAAATAATGCTCTAATATATTAGTGTTATAAGTAGATGTAAACCATAAACGTATATCATTGTGCATCGTAAACAGATATACACCAATAAATACCAAATATACATACAAAAAAAGTGCAAATCCTGTAGGATGTGCTGTAGGTTGTGTTTGAAATTCACCATACGCTATTAAACTGCCGTGCTCCATGTGATATTCAAATCCAACCAAAGTGCACTAGTGTCCCTCTTCAGTGTCCACACACCCCCGACACACTATTTCACTCACCTTAATGTCTGATGTAACACGTAGAGTACGCTGGGGACGGCAAGCCGCAATACAAGAAGCACACGGGCTGCCGTCTTGGTATAGGAAAACAGCATTCGAACACACAGTTTATCATGCAGTGTCCCGGTTGGACACTATCAAATGTGAGTGGAAATTTTGGTATTTTATTAAAGTTGTTTTATTTACAAAACTACACTATATGGAGTATCTTTTTCATATGTATGGAGTTACATTACATTACATCGAGTTTATATAGCGCCAAAGGGTTTGCTCAGCGCTGTACAATAGAGGGGGGGGGGGGGGGGGGGGGGGGGGGAGACAATACATGAAACAGTACAGCAACTACAAACAGCACACGAGGGGTTAGAGGGCCCTACTCTTTCGAGCTTACAATCTAGGAGGGAGGGGGTAGTGGTACAGGAGGAAGTGGCTGTGGGGGATGGAGTGGTAGTAGGAAATGAAGGAGAACGGCAGTTAGGTGAGGGTGGGGTAGGCTTCCCTGAAGAGGTGGGTTTTCAGGGAGCGCCTGAAGGCGAGGAGGGAAGGTGACAGTCTGATGGATTGGGGAAGTGAGTTCCAGAGGATGGGGGAGGACCTGGAGAAGTCTTGCAGACGTGCGTGGGAGGAGGAGACCAGGGGGCAAGATAGAAGGAGGTCCTGTGAAGAGCGAAGGGTACGGGTGGGGGTGATACCTGGGAATCAGGTTGGTGAGGTAGTTAGGGGCAGTGTTGTGAATGGCTTTGTAGTTTTGTGAGTTGCAGGAGATAGTAAGCTGACGGTGAAAGAGCAGTAACACACCTGATAGTAAGGTGATGGTGGAAGAACAGTTACAGCTATATACCTACCTAGCCAACAGGGAAAAGCGCAGTTTGACCTGGAATATAGGCCAGGCATTAAGGTGAGCACAATAGTGTGTCGGGGGGGGAGGGGGGGGGGGGAAGGGGGGGGGGGGGGGGGAAGAGGAGAAGGTAGACACTACTGCACTTTGGTTGGATTTGTTTACTAGCTTATGGTGAATTTCAAACACAGCATACAGCAAGTTCACAATGTGGATGTTTGTGTGATTTATGATGAATTTGGAACTTAATATGTTCTAATTTTTTTGATGGACATAGGTTAAATTTTGGATAATTTCAACGCACCTTTGGGCACATGCGTTTGTCACTTATGACACAAGAATTTGCACGATTTTGTATGTATATTTGGTATTTATTGGAGTATATCTATTTACTACGCACAATGACATATGTCTATGGTATACATCTACTTCTAACACTAATGTATTAGAGCATTATTTGTGCGCTGCATATACACCTTTTCATTTATTTACTATAGGTGGGAACACATTCTATGCGGGCAGCACATCACTGCATAATCATATTAACACCATATTGCACTGAGGTTTTTTCTATATATCTATAGTGTAGTAAATTCCACACAGAATAAAAACAGATAAAACATACTCGCCAAGGTAAAGCAGAAGTCACATGCATCACAAGGGAGCATGACAACCGCTACATCAAAGTTAACCCCAGGGACCAGGATAGATGGAGCGGCTGCAAAAAAGATTGCTCAAGCAGACCAAGTCCCAGGGGATAGACGGTAAGATAAGCTGCAGCTCACACAGTGTCCAGATTGCTGTGTGACTGACTGGTGAAAGTGGAGACGCAGTGGCTAGCTGGCTTCCTCACTCCCAGTGACAGCTGACAAGAGGGTACTGCTACCCTCAAATTAACAGGTTCACAGGAAACATTCCAAAAAGGGGCTACGCACTCAGTATAAATAGCCCCCCACAAAGCCCAAGTACATCAGTCAGGAGGGGCAGTGCAGGCTCCACAACAGCATCCTGAGTACAAAAGACAATCAGGTAAAAATCACAGTAACATCTTGTAATTTTGTATTATAGTGTTACTTTTTCTATATATTCACTGTAGCCAATACTCATTTTAACCATTGATTTTAGCCCAGGGAGAGTCTAAGAACTGTTAACCAAATGCCAGCTATTGGCTTAAGGCAGTTTAGATTTTCAGCACTCTGTTCATTTTAAGGCAATCCTATCACTAGACCAATGAAAAACAAAAATTACCTAGTTGTCTGGCAGACAGGGACTCCAATCTTCACGGTGAATTCACACTGGAACAGACAGATGCCAAACCTATTTACACCTCTCCAGCTGCAAACTGTTCCCGACTGCGGTAGTGTGGTGTGTGTGATTCAGGGCATCAAAAACAACTGCCTTTTTTGTACAAACTTTATTTGAAGTGTACAAAAGTTCAGCTCTACAGTGCCGTACAGTTCTCTACAGTAATGTGATAAAATGCAGCATGCATTTTATCACAGCTGTGGGCTGCTTTGCAGTGTGAATGGGAACCACAGAAAACAATTGTTTTCTGTGTGTCCTTGTGGTAACAGGCATTTTACTATGCAGTAAAATGCCTGTCACCACACTATGTGTGAAAGTGCCCTCATTATTTTGCAATGCTACAGATGATGCAGATATTAGATTTTTTCAGATGCATCAGAAGCCACATTCCCCCACTGTGTGCAGTGGTTCCACCCACCACAGAACCATAGCTACATGACAAAACAAAGACATAGCAGTTGGTAGGTTAAACTGCAGCATACACCTAGGGACGCAGGTACTGAAACAGCTCAAAGTGTTAGATAGTGTAGCTCTGGTGAGGCATGGATGGCAGAACACAAGTATTATTCTGCAAGTATTTTGCAGGCGGTCTTTCTTCTTCTTTTTTTTTTTTTTATTGGCAACAGAGTCACTTTAACATAAGAGAAAGTAGGCATTCAGCATACAGGTACTGTCAGTGAAGCCTGTGCTTGGAAATATTACATAATATCCACAGCTGTGAGTTTCTGAGGCCAGATATTGTTGTACTGAATTTACTCTGTCCCATCATAAAATAGTTTCAATATTATTATACAGGATTTATTTAGCACCAACAGTTTGCTCAGCGCTTATTCACTTCAATATTGATCTAGTGCTTGCAGATAACAAGATTATGAATGCGAGTTCTCCATAGCATAATAGCAAGCCCAGGCACTAATTGTTTCAGCACCATTTTAAAACGGTGCATAGTTTCATTGGCTGTATGTGCTTCCAATGGGACTGATGGCAGAACCACTAGCCATCAATGAAAGTTCTGTTGGGAGTGATCATTGCATAGCCACAAATCAATCAGCACCTGGTCATTCTATTCAAATGCAATGTGCTCTGCATTGTGGGTTACATAGGAAGTCTACTAACATCTGGATTACTGGTGAGCTCAAGCAATCGTCCTGTAGCAGGACTTTACTCTGCATCCATCACCAACAGATTACTGCAATAGAGATCTATATCTTAGATCACCATTATATTCTGTTACTGCAATGGTGCATGAAGTTTTAAAACACTTTGTATTAGGATAACCGTGTCAAATTATCTTACCCCTTCCTTTTTGCCCTGCCAAAGCATCTTCCTCTTCTTTTCTTGCTCTGCGAACTTCATTGGATTTACAGCTGCTGGATTATAATAGCTAGGAACAGAAATGCCAGTCTCTGCCAATGCCTTTGCCTGTAAAGCAGCCATTTGTGCTGCCATTGCAATTTGAGGAGTGACCTGTGTTCCTGAGGCCAACAAAGCTGCTACATCGATAACAGATCCACTGCCTGCTGCAGCAACTAAAGAGAGAAGAAAAAAAGATATAAATAATGAAAAAGGTTACATTATGAGTTGTAAAACAATCACATACAGTGCTTTGGAGGTTACACAAGCTGAAGGACCATGCCACTAGGTCACATAAATCCAAAAACAAATGTAAAGTAGTGCAGCTTACCAATCAGATATGGTGGCTCCATTCATTTTTTTTTTTTTTTTTTTTAAGGCTTTCTCCCTCTGTTTTTATCTTGTGTTCTGCCAGTAATGTACCTCCTGTATTACAGTGCCCCCACTCTGGATGAATAGGCACAGCAGACAGCAGCATTGTTGGTCTGGGGGGGAGTGGCAGATATACTTGCAGACAATGTTGGGCTGAATGTTCGAGTCAAATATCAGTTCGACTTGAACATTGACCGCTCGGGTGTTCGCTGAACACAGGATCGATGCGGGCATTCTCGCCCGCTGCGCCCCACGATGCACTGCATTCTGACAGTGCATTGTGATTGGTCAAAGCAATGCACCTGACCACAGCTTACCAATCGCTCGCGCATCCCCACCCCCCGTTTCCTGACCTGCCAGGCTGCACGCTGAGATAAGGGTCTGGTATGGATGTTGGGGGGACCCCCATGCCATATTTTTATTTTTTTAATTTTGGAGTGGAGATTCCCCTCAAAATCCATACCAGACCAGAAGTACTTGGAATGGATGGCAGGGGAGACCCCACATCATTTTTTTAACATTTTCAATTGTCGGGCAATGCCAACAATTCTTTTTACATTCAGCTGTCAGCGGGGAACCCCACTGGCAGCTGAAACAATAAGGAATGTTTCACAAACTAAAATACAGCATGACTGAATAATATAACTCATGCTGTATTTCAGTAACCGAGCGGTATCTTACCACATACTCAGACGCGGTAAGATACCACTCAGTAAATTGTTCGTGTTTAAATTTCACGGGTCGAACATTCTGTAGGATCGAATGTTCAACCATGAACTGAGCAGGGGGGGTGTTAGGCCCATCACTACTTGAAGCCAAACTTAAGCTCACACTTTATAGTCAGTTACACCAGTTTTTTCCTTTTGTGATAAACGGTTTACATTGAATAAAAACTGATCATTGTAGGCACCCGTCAGTGTGAAAATGTTTGTCTCATCTCTGTAAACTAATACATCTAGAAAGAGATGCGAGCTTGTTCATTTGGAAAAAAAACAGCAGACTTATTGGTCAGATCACCAGATGAAAATAGAAGAAAGCCGAAAAAAAGGAAAAAACTAATACAGCCATCACATCTAAGAACTGGTAAGCTTCACTATAACAAAATGTCTGTTTTGGGTTTAAAGTGGTTGTAAACTCTTATAAAATCACAGGTAAGTGACTTGCCTCAAGTGATACAGAGATTAAATAAATCTTCCTACAAATGATACCCGTTTATCTGCAGCCTTCTCTACAACTGCTCAAAGTGCAGAATTTATACAGCTCGACTGATCACCCAGAAAGCAGGGGGCGAGGAATTGAAATTAAACTCTGCAGAGCTCAGTGAGGAGAGCAGAGACCTGATTGGAGGGAGAGGAGGGGAGGTATAGCCTCCACCCCCCCCCCCTCACAAAGAATAGAAACAGAGCACAGAGGTGGTCAATCACAGTCTAAGAGCTGGAGCTCCCTTCCCGGTCACCTTTTTACCTCTTGGTGCTTGGTGTCAGAAAAACCCTGTCAGAAGAGACACATACAGATAGAGGAAGGAGGCAGCAGACAGAAATGATAGTGGAATGGACTGAAATAAGCACACACTAGAAAGGGATATGCTCTGTTCACATCTCAGGTTTACAACCACTTTAATACTGCATGAAAACTGGCCCCCTCAGGTACTGTAGGAGGAAAGAGTGAAAGACATAAGCTTCCTCATACCAGGGCAAACTGGGCCTGATTTTCAGAATCCAGCAGACAGTGAAGGGTTTTAAATTTAAAGGCATTTTACGATGCCTGCTAGGCAGCAAATCTGTAACTTTATAACCGAATAAACAAAGAAAAAAGTTCACTGTAGGAATATTAAGTACCATGCTAAACTAGCAAATGTCAACATAATATTTCAATGTTCAATAGCTTATAGTACCTTTCTCACCTGCTACAATTTCTTGCTGTTTCTGCTTTTCAACCAATTCTTTCTCACGCTGTTCCTGGAGTTTTTTTGCCCGTTCCAATCTTGAAAAGATAATAGCATATAAGAAAAATGTGGAAAAAATAACTGACGTACTAATTGATGCAGAAAAAACTATTCACGGAACAACGGTTAAGTTGAGCACAAAAGACATATGTATTTGCCAAGTGTAATAGAAGCAACTTATGCAATTCCCTTCAAATTTGGAAGGTACAGTTCAAACACAAACTGACGAGTTGTGATTAAAACACCATTAAAAAAAAAAAAAAAAAAAAAAAAAAAAAAAAAAAAACAGCGATGTACTAATTGGGCTCACAAATGGGTTCAAAACTCTGAAACTTGCAGTGCCGGATGTGGCTGCAGGTTAGACACTACTTAGAACTGAAATTGAAAAATGCAGAGCCTACCATTTCTGTAATTTAAGGAAATGTTACTTTGCATTCTTTTTAATAATCTGTGAGTGTGCCATCACAAGCAATATACTGGGTGGTTTAAATTTAATTTATGGGGAATATTTGTTTAGTACACTATATATTATCTTCATTCCAAACAATCTTCATATCCAAATGGGCCATATCTGTATACAGCACAGATGTTGTTGTTGATACATTGGCTTTTATTAGTAAAGACAATGTGCCTACCTTATAAAAATATTAAAAAAAAAAAAAAAAAAAAAAATCTATGAAAAAAATGGCAAAAGAAGACTGACCCGATAAAAGTACACAGTGGCAAGAAATAATACATCACTATAAATATTTAAAAAAATACCTTCTAGCCAAAGCTTCTTGGGCATCCATAGCTGTATTTCTCCCTCTAAAGGCTGGTGGGCTTGGTGGTGTCCGACTTCGACTCCTACTATGCCTCCTTGGTTTTTCAGGCCTCTTCTTTTTCTCCCTTTGGGAGAACAGTTAGCAATAATATCATAAATAGAAAATAAGCTGTTCAGGTCATCTGGAGTATTAGTATACGTCTTCTACCATCTGTATATGGATTATCCTCATACTACTGGATATGGTTACTGTTCAATGTAGCCTGATTTTTACTATTCTAGTTTTCTCATCAATGTTGCAGGTATCCTTGGTATCTTTTTTTTTTTTTTTATTATGACACCATTTTCTCCATATAATGCAAACTTGTATAGTTCCCATGTTTATAAATCTTTATGTCAAAGATGCACAATTTATAGCGCCGCACGACATGCAGGTCCAGACACTGGGCAGATTTTTTTTTTTTTCTACATTTAGCCCTGCTGTGGGTAAGCAGCCTCTTCAGCCTGGGTTCACTCAGATGTATACTGAGATCACAGTATCATTCCGGTTTCTGTGCGATTTTGCCAACTCTCTCTCTCCACAACTGCCTCCAACTGACTTCAATGTAAAATTGCATTCCATTGACTTCAATGCAAAAACACCTCCCTTTGACTTTAATGCAGAAACTCCTGTCAATAGCAATGTGAACACTTATCTCCGCATGCCACTCTACTCTATCATATGCAAGTCTGGAACGCTCCGCTACAAATTCGCACAGGACCACTTTCATAATGGTATTCAAAATGCAATGCCTGTGGATCGCATCTGTGTGAACCACCTCAATAGGAACACATAATATCTAGCCCGCCATGCGAATCTGTGCATTTAGAAAAGCATCCAAAATCGCATGTGTGTGAAGCAGGAGCGACTCCCATTTCCACCTGGGCAGTGTGGGACTGTGGCAGAATTGCTTTTTGTTTTTTTATCAGGACAAGTAGATTGTCATGAGGGACAAGTAAATTGGGAACCCAATTTAGTCCCATTGACAAGTAGTTTTTTAAAATCTTCCCACACCCATGTTATGTTGTATGTTGTTTGACATATATAATGGTACATATGTCTTAACTTTAATCTCTTCGCTTTTGAAAAATTAATAAACTGAGATACATAAGAGAAACATAACTAGATAATACATAAACATTTGTTTATTCCCACTGTAAAAATTTATATAGGAAAAAATGCTTAGTGCATAAGACTTACCGATTTCTGCTTCCGCTTCTATGACGGTGTCTGGATCTGGATCCTGAGCGTGACCGGGGTCGTCGTTTCCTTTCTCTGCTCTTTGATCGAGATTTTCTCCTGTCACGGCTCCTACTACGATGCCGTCTGAAACATGACATTTTTAGAAAGAGAGGTTAATAACAGAAATATATTTTTCTCAGTGCATGCTACTATTACCTTCCACACACAGAAAGCATTAAAAATTAGAATAGGTAATTTTTCTAATCCTGATACATTTACCAATGAGAACTAAAAAACAGCCGTAACTGGTAAGCCAAGACTTGTCTGTTCTACATCACACGTGGACTAGAAAGAACTAAAACGGACACCATAACTGCAACGTGGAACATTTCTGACAATAAGTGTGTTGAAATGTCAAAGTACACATTCAATTTACCTTTCACGTGATCGGGACCTGGAATAACTTCTGCCCTTTGATGGCCTCCGATCCTTGCGACGATGTCTTTCTTCTCCATTTTCTGAAGAATTAAGCCGCTCTCTGACTCTGTCTGAATGATCTTTGTCAATGGTGTCATCAGAACGATGCTTCTTTGAAGATTTCTCTTTGGACCCATGTCTTCGACCCTGTTTTAAGAAGAAGTTGGTTCTTTCAGGAAAATAGTGCAACAAAAAGAGTTAGTATAAGTGTCAAACGAGTGACAAAGGCTGTGAAGTAACTTTTGTTACCATAGTGACAAAAATAAGTCTTAAACCAAGCCTTCAAGCTTTGGATTTCTACTGCTTGTGGATTACTAAAAGAAGCCGTAAAGAAAACTGCAGAAAGTTAAGGCATTTCTAGGAAAACTGGAACTACTATATATTTGGCACCATTCCATGCAACAAGAAGAGAAGGTCCAAATCCCTCCTGACGCAATTATTTTCTTAGAATAGACTGCTGCAATAACCAATTTTGATTTGAAGCCCTGTCTGCTGACATGCAGTAATCTGTCAAATGAAACTTGAACTGGTCAGAATGACACACTACTGAGTTGTGTTGAAAGATGCAGGCTCATGGGGTTGTCATCTTGGTCCTGGGTGTTTTTTTTACCTAGTGAATAGCTGGCCTAAAATAAACATTTTGAACACATCAGTTGTTTTAGATTTTGATTGGCTGCTTTCTTATCCCAGATCACCAAGTAGTGCAGGATGGATGAAACCAAGAGCTTTCACCTTAAAAGTAGTCAACAATTCCCATATTCTATCCTCACAGACTTAAAGTTCACTGAGAATTTCTCAATTTCCCTGACTAAAAACAAGCCTGCTAAATAATTGTAATAGTGGGAGGTGTGTCCTGATGTGGGTTTACATAGTAGCTATCGCCATTTTTCTGAGATATCTCCTTTTAATAAAGAAAAAACCATCAAATTACAATTTTTTTTATTTTTGATCTGATTATGTACAAATATGAAGAAGGAATAAATTATTCTTAATGCATACGCAAATGGTAGTACCATCTATTCTCCTTTAACCCAACCTAAAATATAAACGTGACAATGCTAAAAATACTAGTCTAATATTAGAGCACTTAACTGATCTCAGCAAGTAATATGAACACATAATATGACTCAGCTCTTGTGATATAATCAGATTAAACTCTGATATAGTTGCACCACTGTCACATTTACAAAGATAGCACTTGGATGTTGACCAAGATAGACTCATCAACACCCAATAACACAAAAACTGACTAGTTTAGCAGAAGGCCTGCCTTTTAAAGTCTGTTTGGTGATGTGTTTCCTGTTCCTGTGAGAGGAGATGCCTATATCTCATTCTGTCATGGAAGACGATTGTGGGAAAAAAAAAAAAAAAAATCTATTCCTTGACTTCACTTTTAGATTCCAATGTATTTTTACAAGATGCTCTTCTTCTTAAAAAAAGCAAAAAACACAACTGCTGCACGTCTTTAACAAGACACTATCTTCTGGCCCATGCATGGCAAAGCAGCCCCAACCCCCCCCCCCCCCCCCTCCCCCGCATACTCACCTCACCAGCACCCCCGGCCCCCCCATTGGAACAGCCGCCATCCACAGTACCCAGCACTTTGGAGTACAGAGTAGAATGTGACCTTCCCCACAGCCTAGACAGTGCTTGGTTCTATCAGCCAAAATGCCAGGCTGAAGCACTATCAAATGATTGGGTCAACACCTGTCAATTTAGTGCTGGTTGCGAAGGAAGGAGGGGAGGCAACAGATGGAATGGACACTCTCACACTGCCCTGTAAGATCAATATCACAGTACCTCTAGGGAAAAGTAGGCTGGGGCAAATATAGAGGCACCCACTGTAGAACGCTGCTTTTGAAAGCCCCAATTGCCTGTGTGTCTCACCGATTTTCTATCTTCAATACTTAAGGCACTAAAGTCAAGAGGATCAGTATGGCTGCACGGTAACTAGCACTTTTATAAGGTCAGCAATGGCAGGCCCTGTATTTTTCTTAGCAAAGCTGCTATTATCAGATTACTTATCTCAAAGATGCAGAACACAGTGAAAAATATAACGGCTCAGTTCTGTGTTTTCCCTGTGAAAGAAATTAACGGATGATGAAATAAACTTCAAACAAAATCTGTCTTGAAAACCATGAAGACTAACAATTCCAACTTCTGTTCAAAATTCGCACTGCTTACTGATCCTCTCACTAACCCAGAATATGTTCAAAGTTAGCCATCGTCATTTGTTACGGTTCAGTGACCCAAAGTAAAGAAGCAAGAGAGCTAGTTCATCAGCCAGGCAACTAGCACTTCCACAAAAGAAGACCAACAGTTACAGTCCCTTATTATCTCATCACAGGTTTATATTAAAGTGTTACTAAACCCAGAAGGACCCTGCATTCACTATATCTGGTCTCCCACAGTACACAGAACAAGGAAATGCAATTATTTTAGTAAACATAAACTGCTAATACCTTTTATCATCAGCAGTTACAGCAGTTTTGTGACTTCTATGTGTCCAGCCAAGCACATGTTAAAGCTTGTAGGAGTTTTCATTCTACTCTAGGAGGATGCAGAACCCTTTGTCTGGACAGTGCTGATCACATGCACTCTCTCAAGGCAACAAAAAAACCTCTTGTAACACACCGAACGGAGCATGTGCAGAGTAACTACACACAATATGTCTTATCAGAAGATAAGAGGGGGGCACTGAAAGAAGGGGAGAATCAGAGAAGTCAGGGTCAAGTTGCCTTTTTACACAATGCAGAGGATTAACCCCATGATTTACTGCATATACAGACTGATTTTACTGTTGTGGGTTTAGTAATACTTTAAGGAGGCCAATACAGTGCTGATACCAAACTGCTTTCCCTTATTAGTTAGTGAATTGAATTGTGCAATGGTGCTTGTAATGGTGCTACCCCCCCCCCCCCTTATTAAACTAACTTTTACTGATGAAAGGTGTCAGAACACATAGTGCATCACAGTTTGTTGCATATGGGGCTGTGCAGCTGCAGACCGGTCAGGGTGTCCATGCTGAACCCTGTCCACGCTGAACCCTGTCCACAGCCAAAAATGCCTATTAGCCATCTTAACAGACAGGCAACTAACACTTTCAGAAAGAAATTACAGTCCCCATTTCTTTTCTAAACACCAGCTTACTTTAAGAAGGACGATGCAGTGCTGATACCAAGCTGATTTCCCTTATCAGCTGGTGAACTAATTCAGAACCAGCATTAGCTCTTTCAGCAATTTGAGCTACAGTAGCTCTTCTATTGGATTGGACTACACAGGCCAAACTTCACGTGTATCAATGAGCCTTTGCTGCTAATGACCCAGTTGCTGGGTTTCCTACCTTGGACCGCTTTTGGTAGGTCCTGACCACTAGTGAAAGGGAACATCCCACAAGAGCTGAAGGTTTGGAGATGCTCTGACCCAGATGTCTAGCCTTTACAATTTGGCCCTGATCAAAGTCGCTCAAATACTTATGCTTGCCCAATCTTTCTACTTTCAAATACATCAACTTCAGAGGCAATATACTAACTTGCTACCACTTACATTCCACCCACTTTCGGATGCCACTGTAACAAGATAATCAATGTTATTCATTTTACCTGTTAGTGGCCATAAAAAGTTCTGGGTGATCAGTGTATGGTTCGGAACAAACTTCCCCATAAAGAACCATGCACTCTTGTACGGTAAGTCAGCTGCAGTAGCAGCTGAGAAAATAATTCCAGTAAAAGGCAGAACATACCATGCTGTTAGTCTGTTTGAAAACCCTCACACAGAACCAATTATAGATTTTACAGTGGCTGCAATGCATTATGCTTCCCAAATTTTGAGGCGGTAATTTACATTTTATTTTTCACATTTGTCTATGAGTATAAGCTGGGCTTTGCAGAATCCTATAGTTTAGCTTTTAAATTCATGATAAAAAGAAGAACACCCTTGGATACTTCATCCATACAAAAAGTAAAATAAAAATACAATTGTGAACAGGCACCTTCTTAACCTACAGAAGTATTTGGTGAACAGGCCCTAGATGCTTTGCATCATTCTTAATAGAAGACAAGCAAATATACAGTCAGGTAAAATTAAATAATAGCAATTGCTGGGCAAAAGGAAAATTGGCGTAATACCAATGGTTACAGTGGAAATTAAGAATTATTACATGAGATATATTAGTAGTCGCTTTTCCTACTGGTTAACATTCATCAATAAGATTATATCTATTTTTGTTTTGTTTATTAGATGCATAGTGCTTTCAGTTTGATTTTGCAAAACTAAAATTCAATGGGGTACAATTAATACTTCAATTTCCAACCACTGTTAAGCAAAATGATAGGATAACAATCTTCCTTGTTTAATAAACCAATTATATTTTTGGCTGAAGAAAAACACAGACCTGTAAATGGCACCATTTGAAAGAAAGGCAAGGGCCCTACACTACTGATAGAAAACCAATAAAGGATAACGGATGAATGGTGTGTGTGTACTGTAACACAATGAATTATCAGTTTTAATAGTTGTATTATTGTTTTTTTCACAAGTATTCGTTAAAAGGCTAGTCCATCTAAAAAGGTGAAGTTCAGTTTTCTTTCTATATTATTGCCATGACAAAGCTTTGCTCTGTTTCACATCAAATTAGCAGTGTATATATATCCATGCTCAACTATCCACATATTCTAAGACAAATCTAGCTTTGGACAAAGAACTCTGTCTTAATGAATGACACCTGTTAAAACATATAGCTTAAGGAAAATAGATTTCACTTTTAACATAAAACACGTACGGTAAAATAATATCCTTAAACAATTTACTTAATTATTGTACAAGTCAAATAGGAGGTTGAATGACTGATAGTTACCTTATCATGAAGTAGGCTTATATTTTTGCTATGAGTCAGCAGCGTCTTCAGTTCAGTCTCTTCGTGCTTTAGCACGCTGAGTATGATTTATTACAGAAAAGTTATCATGTGGTCTAGGCACAATAATCAATTTTATATCAATGCTTCCTATCACAAGTGATCACCAAATATGGTTAGAATACTATTAAAGCTTGCAGTATCACGAGTGCACTACGCCTCAGCAATAAGTTTTACAGAGATATGAGCAGCTACATTACAAATGGGTAGGGAAAAAAAACACTAAATATGCAATACCTTGCATCATTATATACTCAAATACTTCAATGTAGTCAGTCCATGAATTCTGCTGCTTAGCTATATTATGCTTTAACAGCAGAGTTTAAAATGAATTTAGATACTGCTGAAGCTGTAATAAATGCAGTTAAATAGAATTTGACAAAATAAAGTGCACCATACACAATGATATGGTGAAATGTTCAATGATTTTTAAATACTTCAGTACTTACCATGGAGTAAAATAATTCCCAATATAAACAACGATATATAATTAGTCAATGTACACTACAAAGTATTAATTACCTCTTTGCTCCTGCTTCGACTCCGATGTTTCTTCCCTTCATTGTCTGAAAAATTGTAAAGTGATAATGGTAAATAAAAGGATTCAACTGTCAAAAGTCCAAAAAAACAAAACACCACCACAGGAGACCCCAACTTACCACCCTTCCGTTTGCGTTCTCTTGAATGTGAACGAGATCTTGAAAATTGTCTGTAGGTTGTAGGGGACTTCGATGGATCACATTCTTCCATTCGCTTTTCTAATGTGGGCGAGCAGCTATCCAGGGAGCCTCCATCTCGATCTGTATCACTCGACTAAAAAATACATACATATTAATGGTTTGAATACAAATTTTTAACCTCAACACAGGCTCTGTTATATAGCCAAAGAAAACCAGTCATGACAGTAATACTGGAATTGCCACTTCTAACCTGCTGAAAAAAGCACTCTGGCTGACCACTCAGGAAAGTCAGAAGGCTATCTGCATATTTGTTTAGGGGGTCAGCAACTAAGTATTAAAAGTGCTTTTAGCGCACACACACTCAGCAAGTGGAGCATGTGGCTATTGTATCCATCATACATGAATGTAAACTGTAAAACACATTTAGTATGCATCATAGCCCTATTGAATATGCCTTTAAAGCCTAACTTTAGTTAAAACAAAACATTTACAAATCAGCACAAGGGATATTACTTACCTTCAATGTGATGTCCCCCCTGTGCTGCTGTCTTCTAGTTTAGTAGAAATTGTCCTTCACCAATGCCCCACCCCCACCTTCTTCCAGGGGGCAGTGTTAACTGAACAGATAGAGGGGTCTGACAGGCACTCATCAAGAGTACAAAACTATGCCCATCCCTAAAGCGATATTAAAGGCAATTTTTTTTTGTTTTAAAATAACAGACGTTATATTTGCCTGCTCTGTGCAATGGTTTTGCACAGGGCAGCCCCGATCCTCTTCTCAGGTCCCCCCGGCAGAGCTCCTGGCATCTCTCTCCTGGTGAATGCCCCCCCACACTGGCTGTGACTGACCGCAGAGGGAGCCAATGGCTGACTCACCCAATGAGGAGGAAAAGTCTCCAGACGGCTCTCATGCACATCGCAATGGGGCTCAGATAAGTATTGGAGGGGCTGGGGGGACAGCTGTAAGCAGAAGGTTTTTTTACCTTCATACATAGAATGCATGAAGGTAAAAAAAAAAACTTGAGCCTTTACAACCGCTTTAACCCAGGTCTGCCATTCATAGAAGCCATACTACTACTTGCTTCTATGAACAGAACATGATCTATGAATGGGAGGGGACAGACATTTCAATCATCCACCTGTCCTCAATTCTTAGGACACATCATTTCATCTACAAAAACACAAGAGGAAGGTGTTATGTAGTCCAAAGAAAGCTGAAAATAAAAAAGTAACAATCAGCGGACACACAGAAGGTTATCAGCTTACTTGATTACTGTCAGGATTAACAGGTATAACAAAACCAATTTCAGTGTATTTACCAGAACAGAAGCAGCAAATATGTTTATTGTAGAGTTTACTAACACTTTAAAGAGAAGTAGGGCCAAAGCTTTTGGGGGGAGGGGTGGAGGAGTTCTTAAAACTCACTTTGTGTCTTATCTGCATTAACAGCCTCAGAACCTGTGTAAATAACTGCTGAAAGGTTATACTGCTACAGGGCAGCACCTGTGTGCAGAATCATGTATATACACGTGATTTTGCATTTCCAGGTAGGGGGCGTGCCCTACCTGCACCGCCATTCGCGGCCGCAGATGTCAATCACTAATTACCTGCTGCCCGGTGATTACCAAGCATCTCCAATGGGGAGGAAGATTGTTTTGTTTACACAGTATAGCCATCCCAATCAGTGTGCTTAAAGAGAAACCCCCCCCCCACCCCCTAGAAAAAAAAAACCCCAGCACACAGTTAACCCTTTGATCGCCCCTCTTATTAACCCCTTCACTGCCCAGTGCCATTAGTACAGTCTCAGTTTTTTTTTTTTTTTTTTTTTTTAAGCACTGATCACTGTATTGATGTCAACAGGGCATCAGTGACACCAGGTTAGTTCCCCCCCCAGTGTCAACATGTCTGCCGCAATCCTGCTATAAGTCGCTGATTGCTGTCATTACTAGTAGAAAAAAACTCTCAACCCATTATCTATACCATTTGTAAACACTATAACTTTCACGTAAACCAATTAATTTACACGTATTGGGATTTTATTTAGCGGAATACATTTTGGCATAAATTTATGACAAAAATACTTTTTTTACTGGATATGTTTAATTTTTTTTTTTAGCAAAGACGTGTCTCAGAATACATTTTGGCCTAAATTTGACATTTTTTTTTAAACTAGACATGTTTTATGAAAAAAATCCAAAATATTGTTTTTTTTTTCTTCTCAAAATTGTTGGGTTATTTTGCTTACAGCGCAAAAAAAAAAAAATGCACAGGTGATCAAATACCACCAAAAGAATTAGTGGGGGAAAAAAGGACATGCATTTCATTTGGGTGCAGCGTTGCATGACCACGCAACTGTCAGTTAAAGTAACGCAACGTCGTAATGTTAAAAATGGCCTGGTCAGGAAGGGGGGGTAAATCCTCTGGAGGGAAAGTAGTTAATGCATTCAGTTTTAAAGCGATGGGGTGACAACCCTAGACAGGAGGGGGAGATTTGACTTTTTAAGGCCCCTTTCAAACTGGTGTTCCGTTTCAAAAAACATGACTGAACTGATGAAACAAAGATAAAAAACAGATCAGTTTCTCAAGTTTTTTACATTCTTTACCAATGCAAAAAACAGACCACACATGTTTACATTTGTTTATAGTCTGTTCTGTTTTTTTTTTTTTTAACTAAACAAAAATAGTGCTTTACTCCATTTTATTGTTTTAAAAAAACGGAAGTGGATGTAAACCGATATCAACGGATGACCATTTGTTAGCCCATAGAAATAAGTTGGTGTTAGTTTTTCATCCAGAAACAAATGTATAAAAATAACGGCCATAAAGGTATTCCCCTGTGAACAGGGCCTAACTGTGGTTTTTGGGGTGGTGAGTGCCCAGTAGGCTCACTGCTGACCAGTGTGGAGAAGTCAGGGGATCCTGGTAGGACATGTACACAGCGATCGCCATCACACTGCTCTTTATCCAATCATCTCCCACAGGGCCGGAATCATAGCTCCTGATCACCATACAGGGCTGCCCGGATACTTCAATGGTTACCATCATCACTGGAATGTTATTGTACCTGTCTGGAAGTAGATTAGAGTTGGTTCAGGCCGGCCTGCCCGTGTAGACGGCCAGCTCCAGCAGCCTGTGACCTAGCCCCTCTCCTCAGCCAGCCCATGGCCACTACGGCTGGAAAACAAAGTCGTATCAGGAGAGAAGGGTCAGGCTGGCGGGGGAGTACATAGGCCGCACTAGTCATGGCGAAGCCGCGGCGCCATTTTCCCCTTCTCTCTCGCTCACTCCGGAAAAGGCCTCAGCTCCACGCAACTTACTTACCGCCATCACTTAGGCGAAACCTCCTCCTCCTCTCCGTATTCCCTCACCGAGATCCTGAATGGTAATAGCCAGGCAAACCGTAACCCCACACACGACGGCGTAGACGGTCCACAAAAGCAGGCGGGGCTCACTGAGCCATCCGAACAGGCACAAAGGAAGTGGCCGCCGCGCACAGTACCATGGGAAACGTTACTTACGTCACCTAGTCCATCCCGCCAAATTCGACTGACAGAAGGACTGAGAAAGAGGCCGGAGAGCTCCGTGGCGAAGGAGGAAGACTGGCTGACGGTGTGTATGTCTTATTACAGGACCTCCTGAGCCGGCTTGTGTGCTCTCGCTGCTTGGCTGATGTTGTGTTGTTGATTTACATCTGACGTTCTCTCCAATCAGCACTCTCCATACTTCCATCCCCCCAGTAATCCAACACTGATTGGTTTTGTTTAGGCCTCATACACACGTTTTGAAAACTCTGCTAGAAGCTTTTCCTCCTGGCTGCAGTATTTATGCAGAATAAAAATAGGCCTGGTGTTTGTAAATATGTCTCATGCGTTTACAGGTGGCAAGCGCTTGGGTGTTTATTTCTTTGGCCAGAACAATCATTTATTTCAGGACACCAAAATAAATTGCACCCACGGTTCACATCTGTGCGGGTGGTGCCGCTGCAGGACCCGCACAAATACCTGCAGCCGCACCCGCCCACACAAATACCTGCAGCCGCAGATAGGAATGTGGGACCCGCACAAATACCTGCAGCCGCACCTCCCGCACATAGGAATGTGGGACCTGCAGCCTGCAGCACACCCGCACATAGGAATGTGGGACCCGCACAGATACCTGCAGCCGCACCACCCGCACATAGGAATGTGGGACCCGCACAAATACCTGCAGCCGCACATAGGAATGTGGGACCTGCAGCCGCCGCCCACCCGCACATAGGAATGTGGGACCCCACAAATACCTGCAGCCACCCCCGCACATAGGAATGTGGGACCCGCACAAATACCTGCAGCCGCACATAGGAATGTGGGACCTGCAGCCGCACCACCCGCACATAGGAATGTGGGACCCGCACAGATACCTGCAGCCGCACCACCCCGCACATAGGAATGTGGGACCCGCACAGCCGCACCACCCGCACATAGGAATGTGGGACCCCGCACAGATACCTGCAGCCACACCACCCGCACATAGGAATGTGGGACCTGCAGCCGCACCACCCGCACATAGGAATGTGGGACCCGCACAGATACCTGCAGCCGCACCACCCACACATAGGAATGTGGGACCCTGCAGCCGCACCACCCGCACATAGGAATGTTGGACCTGCACAAATACCTGCAGCCGCACCACCCGCACAGATGAATGTGGGACCCGCACAAATACCTGCAGCCGCACCGCCCGCACAGAGGAATGTGGGACCTGCACAAATACCTGCAGCCGCACCGCCCGCACAGAGGAATGTTGGACTCGCACAATGTATTATTATTATACAGGATTTATATAGCGCCAACAGTTTGCGCAGCGCTTTACAATATAAGGGAGACCGTACAATTACAATACATTTCAATACAAGAGGGTTAGGAGGGCCCTGCTCGTGGAGCTTACAATCTAAAGGAGGGGGGAGGTGATACAAAAGGTGATAGTTGTGGGGGATGATCTGGTGGAGGTGATTCAAGTACAGTTCGTAGGTGGCGCTGGAGTAGGCTTCCCTGAATAAGTGAGTTTTCAAAGATCGCCTAAAGGCCGACAGGGTGGGGGCTCACCGGACATGCTGTGGTAGGGAGTTCCAGAGGATGGGAGAGGCTCTGGAGAA